CCGATCTCCGTCTTGTTCTCCGTCGCTATCCATCGGTCCTTGGTTGTTGTCCCCACTGGCCGCCCGCTGCTCCGCTCGCGGGACCATTCATCAAGCACCCACTACTCGTCATTGTCTCCACATTCGTCATCGCTTCCTTGCCCGTCATCGCTTCATGGTCCTTCGCCACCTAGTCCGTCGTCGCAGCTCCCCTCCGGCATCCCCGCCGTCGTACTTGGCCATCTCAACGCCTCACCGCCTTTACTAAGAAGGGATTTGACCAAATGCCCTTTGTTACCCCCCCTCCCATCTTCGCCATCATCCTCGAAGGCAGCGGAGCTGGACTACCATTCACCAGTAGGTCATGCTCAAGCTGCCCTATCCCGCTATTACCCGTTGATGCACACTCGCCCTGCCGCTCGTACTCGTGCTGGTTAATGCAGACAAGCTCTCTCCTTCCTTCGTCAAGCCCACCATCCGGCCGTTCCAGTTCGAACTCGAGAAGTATCTGCTAGTACGAGTGCGGAAATGCCGCCGACGACACTCTCTGTCTTTTTATCCTGGTTGGCCGTGGCGCACTTGTGTCTGTGCTGTCAAACCGTTGATTCCACCCCTCCAGGGAGGGAGGGGGCGAAATACATGCATGAGCTCTTCTTCAATCGGGTCCTGTTCCAGGAGGAGCCGTGGTTTTATCCTGTTGCGCTTCTGCGCCTGCCGCGTAGGTTAGCTAGCTGTACTGGCTAGGTTTGTCTCTGACAGGGCATCATTTTCTGCATGCGTCCTACGGGGATTCGTGTTCTTCCTCTCCTAGCATCAGGTACCATCAGGGTGCCCCACGTTACTGCTATCGTGTCCTGGTAGCGAGGCTATTTGGCTCTTGTCATGTTACAGAACGCCTCGTCGCTTTCGGCCGCGTCATCGGCCTTGGGACCTTCGTCCATCGTTGTGCCCACCGTTCTTCTTCTCGTCGTTAAACACTCTTCTTCGCTTTCCAGGTTGTTCCCCATTGCGTAAGTGAATGTGGTCGATTGTCGGGCACTGGCGCATGACTAACTCTCTCTACTTGCGTCTTTGCCATCGACTCCAGGTCGCCCCCTGCTTTGGCCTTGCCGTTCATCACCCCGTTTAACGCTCCCGGGCCGTTGGTGGTCGGATCACCGGCGGCGTCCGCCTTCTCACATTAATCACTGTAATGTTGTGCGCCATCTTGTCCAGCAAGTTTGTAGGGTAGAAGTGAGCCAATAGAAACAAGCAATGTGTCACCAACTCATCCCCACTATTCAACATCATCACCTTGTAGTTGTCAAAACCTGCCGCCTCGATCTCATTTGCTGGTCTTCTCCACCTACATCAAACGTCGTAATACATGGACCAACAGCGGGCCAGTCGATCCAAACTAATTCGCCAGGCATGTAAGATACCTTCTGCTCCACACGCTGTTGATTGTAGTACATCGCCACCTCGACTGTTCCGTCTCCTGTGCAACGCTCTCGCCTTCTTCAGATCGATCAACAGTTTGTTGTACGCCTCAATAAGCTTGTTCGGGTGCGCCAGTCGTCTCTTGCGCAGAACTTTACTCGGCTTGCGGGGCTTCCTTCTCATCGCCAGCTCGTTAGGTTGGAACCTGTG